GTGTCGTACCTAATTTTTACTGTTGGGGTAAGGACTGGGCTAAGTGGCATCATATTTGAGAACAGATGTGCTGTGTGCTTTTCCCATAACTGTTGGGGTCTTTCTGAGTTAGTGTGCATTATGCAAAAACAGGGGTGGCAGGGTTGCATTTTTACTTGATTTTTATAACTGGAATTAAGGTCCAGGTCAGGTAAGACAATCTCTGTGATTGACAAAATAGAAGGTAATTCTTCCTAAAGCATCAGCCTGGCAGCCCAAACCCATTTACCTTTCAATTGCCCTTCTGCTTGGCCAGCCAGGCTTCCATGGGCTGCTTTATCCTGCAGGTTGGGGAGCAGTAATGTGCTCCTACACACCCTCCCACATCGGTGTGCAGCCCTGCACACCAGTGGTGAAATCCTGGGTGCCAAGGAAATCAATGCCAGCTCCTCAGAGCCCATTGATTTCCACGGTGGCTGGGATTTCTATGCACATGAATAAGAGCAGGTTATCTATATCCTTTTTGCACATTAAAACTTATGGATAATGGACTGACTTTAAATACATGTCATGGTTTTGTCAGCCAAAGGCTACCAGTGACATTTGATTTATAACATTACGAATATATATGTTAGGCATCTACATTTTTATATCCAAACAACTCTTCCTCTCCACAATTGTAATTGACATTCACATGTGCCCTCTATTTCTCACTTAATCTTATTAATGGTTTTTATCCCTTTAACCCCTCCTCCACCACCTTGGCTAAGGAAAGTGTAAAGTTTTTTAATTATCCTTTGTTTCCTGCTCTAATTCTCTTATGTTTCTTTGCATCTCCTTCCCTGCTACTTCCCTTTTAAAGAAGTCCATGAACCAGGTATGTGACTTCTGAATTCCTCTGCGTCAATCTGAAGGGTTATTGTGTGCTGGAAATTCAACTCCACTTGGCAATTTCACAATTGGGTCATGTGCTGAATTGGGACAAAATGGAAACTTTGTCCAACCAGAAAAAAACCAAAACAAAACAACCAGAAAAAAAAATTAGGAACACTCTGTTGACAGCTTTTGAAAATTATGGTTTTTATTTAGTTAAAACATTTTGTTCCAACTTTTTTTCCCCTCTTTCCTCTATGGAAGATTTCCAAATTTTGAAATGAAAATTCTATTTTAGATTCTTCTGAAGCATTGCCTTTATGTATAATGTGGGGTATATATAGTGTAATGCAAGAACAAATCTGGAATAAGAAGTTGCCACAAGGCAAAAAGTGGAAAAGTTGTGTTCCAGAGATGTTAATATTTCTGCAACCTTTATGGCCGTGAAATGTTTCTATTTTTTTTGAACAAAATCTCAGCTAAATCTAACGTGAGTTCTGAAATATTGGAATTTAATTGAAACTATAATTTATGTTGGAAAATTTTAACAGTAACTCTAGTATTATACTCAGGAATTCAAAGATGGTGGAAATAAACATAAAAATCAAATATTAACGATAAACTGTAACTTGCAGCTTCCTCACACCTTTGACCAGTCATAATTTCCTCACCACTCTGTGATGCAATAATAATGAGGAGAAAGCTAACTGCTGCATGAAAGATGCAGTAACATTTTTTGGTAGACAAACATCTCAGTGTCTGAGCTGTAATAACAGGCACTTGCCCGACTCGGAGCCATCCTCACAGTGCCTATGGGAATGTTATAGTGTTTATTTCCTGGGAAAGCAGAAACTGAACTTGCAGCGTCCTCTAAACTGTCTGTGGGAATTATTCTGTGCCATTTGGAGTGGCTTTACTCAAGTAGTCACATCTCAGCAGCCTCCCACCCAGCTCTGCTGTCCACAGAGGGAGACCAGCCTCTTAGTTCAGAGCATATTGATGCTTCTGCCAAGGCTGCAGTGAGGTGAAAGCTGATTGATTTTTACGTGACTTAATAGTTCAACATTCATCTCTTCACTGCTTCTCATATCTCTCCTGTTCTCATCGCTTCTTGTATCACATTCTCTTTTTAATTATATTCATTTTTGCCTCTTAATCTGCACCTAAGGTTTTTCTGACTTTGATTTGCACAAGCTAAAGGTCATTGCTTCCATCACAGCTGCTTTGCCTGCCTCTTTACCTCTTTTCCATGACATTTATTGAACTGCTACTCACTACTTCAGAGCTGGTTCTCTAGCATTGACAGGTGTATGAGCTTGAAATTTGTGCAAAACACAAGATATTAACATAATATGATAAACAATAAAGCCATAACCACATCCTCCCCATGCTTTCTTTTCCCTCTGTAACATAAAGCACAATAAAACCACAAGACAATGTAAATATAACAAGCTTAACAAAAAACTTTTATGTCAGAAACAGCTTTTCATGTAACTGCACGATTATTTAGTTTCTCTGTTATTAATGCTGTCTTTGCCTACCACATCTTCTAAGTCACAGCTTTGGCCTGCACAAGTCACAGTTGTTGCTCTCGTGGAATTCTTGCTTTAATTATTTCATTTTCATTTCTTTCCACCTAACCAAGCTCATGTTTGTGACATCTAAATTCCTATGTATTAAACTGAAGCATTCCTGCACATAGGAATTTTAAGATGTTGAAGAATACCAGAGTCATGAAGAATCAATCCATTCTTGAAATTCCCTAAGACTTATTTTCCCTATAAGAAAGCATAAATATTGTTTGTAGCTGAAGAATCACCATCTAAGAAGCTCAGAGCAAGCATTTTTAGTGTCCCCAAAGACTTTTAGGGCTGTGCCTACCCCATAGCCCAGACAGAAAGCAGGTACCTGAGCTGCAGAAACACAAGCTGCTTACACTTGCAGGGAGTGGACTGCAGCAGGGTTCTGGCACACAAACTCGAGCAGTTCTAGTCCTTTGCAGCAAAGACAAGCTCTGTGCAGACACAAATATTGCCAGTTCTGCAGAGCTGAGCCCAGAATGTGCCAGCAGAGATTCTTAGATGGTGGAGCTTCAGATGCAGGCATAGGGATGCATCCAAAGCAGTACCTCCTTCAGTAACTCTCACGTTCTTATGCCAGCTCTGATAGGTAAAAGGGCAGCTGAAACCTAGGTAGCACTAAATGCTCGTAAAATTTTCTTCTTGGGTGTGTTTTATTTCAAATTTAAGGATTTAAGTGTTACTACACCTGCCCATGGTTTATAAATTTGCATGATTTAAACTGTTGAAAATCATCAACATTCAAATTCCCTTTATCTTTTGTTTCTATGGCATCTCCTTCCTATCTACTTCATACCCCACTGTAATTACACTCCTTTTCCCACTCTTATTAACAGTCCATCCCTATAACTTGGTCTGCAAATTATACTTCATCAACCCAGTCTTACCAAAGTTTGAGGTGATCCCTTCCTGCATAACTTATTTCTAATTATTTTATCTTCCTTTCCTGTGTTTTTCCCCTGACACATCCTACTAAATGAAGCCCCCCCTCCAGGTATGTGATTTAACTTCTAAACTCCCTGGTGTCTGTCTGCTGGGATGGTGTGTGTGAGAAGTGAACACAAGTTGACAGGGGATAACAACTGATCATTAAAGGATGGATTATAACTTGCATGCCTTTGGGGTGGTTCTATTTTGGTTTAATATTTTTTTCTCAGTTAAATGTAATCAGCAGTAAGGAGGAGGAAACTTACTCTTTGCATGAAAATTTCACTGGAAACTGGGGGAGCACACATGTACTCTTGTGAAAGGGTAGCTCAGCTAAAGGTCTCCTTGTGGAATGCATTAAATTCTGCCCTGTGATATGAGAATGAATGTTTCTGCCTATAGGGGAGGATATATTTCAAATCTCAGGGCAGAATTTGACCCATTGACTGTACATGGGGAATATAAACACTGTGAGAGTTTGTGGGGTTTTTTTATGCCTGCTTTTCAAAATTTTAGTGGTGTGTGTGTGTGTGTATGGCTGTAAAGTAAAATCTACCCTGCAAATTCACACTGCTCGTCTATTCCTGCTTTGCCAAAACCCAGAAGAATGACATGCAGACCTGCACAGACTTCTAATGAACCTTTTCTTCCTATGAAGTAATCCGTTTGTAATTTTACATTGCAAATGGATTTCAAGAGCAGCAGTAAATCTATATAGACATCAATGTTGTCTTCAAGGAAGAAAATGGCCTGAGCCATAGATCTGGAAGGGAACTGAGCTTCTTTGGAAGTTAGCTGAACGTTGATGATGAGTTATGGAAGGTATTTCAGCAGGTTTCTGAACCACACTGTGTTAATTTCAAATGGCTGAAATACTGCTGTAGCAAAGGATGGGTCCAATGGTGCTTTGAGAGTGCTGGCTATGTTCATGTGCATATTTCCAATCAAGGTAAATCTCAATACACTGTGCTGTCAGGTTATGCTTTATGTCATATGATGATTACAAGTGTTTTTTAAGCATTGCACTATTATCATAAATCTGCCTTTTTTACCTTTCCTGTTCTGTCACTTCTCTTTATGTGTTATTTAAGATGTAAATATTTTACCTGTTTACTTCTTGACTTCATTCTTGGCTCCCTTTTTCCTCTCTGCCCCTCCTCCCCATTGGCTCAAAAGCTCTTTTGGTGTGTGAAATAACAGGTTTCTTGTTCTCATTCTCTTGCTTTCCATCTCAACTTGTTCCATGACACTTCACCCCTGAAGTTCATGAGCCAGGTATGTGACATGACTTCTGGTTTACTCCACCTAGGTGCAACTCAAGAGTGTGTATGTGTGTGAGAGAGGGAGAGAACAAGAGTCCTGGGCTGGTAGAAGAGAAGAAAACAAGAAACAAACATTAACCACAATTCTCATTTGCAGTGCTCTTCTCCTTTAACCTCCATGCTTACTGCTACTTTAACATTACAGCATTTTTAAGTCCTGACAGTCTCTCCAGTTTTCTCCTTGCCTTAGTTCACTAATTCCTTTATTTTTTCCCCCCCCTCATGCACTCCCTGGTCTCTTTCTCAGGATTCCAAGAGCTTTAAATAACTGTTTTGTTTTTTTTCTTCTATTTCCTGTCTTTCCATCACTGCTTGCACCATGACAACAGCAGAGGAAGCTCATGAGGAAGGTATGTGATGTACCTACAGACCCTCATCCTTTTTCTCTTTCAGTGCTGGGGAAACAGTGTCAAAAACACTGACATTGTTCAAGAGAAACGAGAGTATGGGAGGGAAATGATGTCTCCAGATGGATTTCAATGAACATGCAGAAAGGGCTGTTTGTTAGCCAAATCAAATCACCAAAAAGGTGTTTTCTCTTCTTGTTCCATCTCCAAGGTTCCCAGCATAACAGGGAGGGAGTGGGGACAGGTGCTCTTAGAACAGTGATGGTTGTGGATTGACTACTGCACTTCTCTTTTTCTTTTGTGCTTCAACCTACAGCCAATGAAGAAGGAGAATGCAATGATGGTAGCTCAGTGTTGTCTTAGGACAACAAAGTCATCTTGCTAACATCTCACTCTCTTTTATGTGTCTGTTTTTGTTCCTCACTTTATTTCAAACTCAGGAACTGGGCCAAAACATCTCTGCTGCAAAGAATCGCTCACTGTGCATATCCAATCACCCTTGGGGAGTCATTAGTGTATTGAGAAGCCTCTACATCCTCATTAGGATAGTAGATGGTGAAAATCAAGCTCTAGAAGCTTGCTCTGGACTTGTCTTTCAGCCAGAATCTGTTGTGTCCTAGCTCTCATCAGCAAAATGTCTCTATCCCCCAAAAATCAGGAGAGAGTCTCTTAAATCATAGTGCAATATTTGAAAATTGAGCTGAGCCCTGCATAGAAATGCATCCCTCACACAGCCTTGGGTGGTTATGGGCTCCAGGCCTGAATCTACAGAAATGTAAACTTCTGCTCAAGCCATGCACTTAAAATTGTGGTAAGCATTAAACATCTATTGAGATGGGTGGAGCTAAATACAGGCTGGCTGTAATACTGGGTTGAGTGGGTGCTGGAGCACACTGGTAGGGACAGGACTTATGTGAAAGGACCAAACCTAAAGGTGTGCAGGGTCAGTGCTGCTCTTGTAGAAGATAACTTAGCCCCTCCCTGGCCAGTTTAAACATAATGAAAGTTCTCGTGGAGTTTTAGAGGCTGTTGTAATAACTGGGTTCTTCCTGGATGCCCCAGCCCCTAGAACACCCAGGCAGCTGCTTCAAAAGACAAAGCCCAACGTCACTTGAAAACACCCTGCATTTTCTGTGTTTCTTGTTTTGTTTCATTTTGCTTTTGTAGATTTTTTTTTGGTTGTTGTTCTTTTGTTTTAATCTTTTTGCTCGCTTTTCAGGCTTCTTTTTTAATTTAGGGAAATACCCCGAGGACCTTCCTGAGCCCCTCTTTGTCTTTCTTTTTCTCATTCTTTTGTTTTTAATAGCATATTGATTTCCTCTTTTTCCCAAGGACACAGTGTGAGTTAGATATGTTGCTTCTGAGAAGTGGGATTAAGGGAGGGTGTTTAGGGATTTCTGAGTGAAATAAAGGCAGTTCAGATGGATTCCCAGAGAAGGAGAGCACCGTGTGAATATCTCAGAGACTGGGCAGGAGAGAGCAGGGTGGTGGTATTTCAGTGGTGTATCCTCTCCCTGTGCTAAGCCTTTTGGAAACCAGAACCTCAAAGACTCTCTAATCACCAGGGCAGTGAACTTGGATTTGCAGTGTCTCTTGCCTTCTTTTGGCAGGGTTGTACGTGGGGATTTTATCTCAGCCCCGTGGCTCATAGTCAGAATGACTGGAATGTCAGTCAAAATCCGCCATAGGAACAGGAATTTGCTGTGGCAGTTCCTGCTTGTCAACAAATTTTGGCCCAGTTCCTTGACTCGGTGTCCTGAAAGAAGGGGCATTTCAAAATAAATCCCCATCCCTGGACTGCTTTTGGTTTCATACAGTATGGACAAAGCCTGGGTCGTGCACTGCAGAGGATAGATTTTTTTACTGTTTAATTTTTAATAAAATGCCCCTTTTTCTGGTTTTCTGCAGGTACCTTTAAGAATTCTAACTACAATTTCTTATTCCAAGAACAACTAACTTTACTTTTTTCATTTTTACAATTGTTTGTTGGAGTGCTGATTTGGTGGCAGCTGAAACCAAATTCACACAGTTACTGACAGACAGGTGTCCATCCTGGCAACCAAAGTCAACAAACAAAACCAATCATTTCCCATCTACTCTTTTTTTTCCCCCCTCTCTTTGAAGTGTTACTAACTGGCAGCTTTAAGCCAAACAGGAATGCCTGTGAAAATTATCTGGGTATCTCATGAAGGAAGGGAATCCTGTGTAAATAACATACCTGACAGACTGGTTAATTATGATTACTTTTCCTCTCTCCAGGTAAAAGGCAATTTAGCTAACATATTAAGAAGCTCAGTGGCTATTTGAAAAGCAAAGCAAATAAAAAAATAATGGAGGAATATGAAAGCACGCTGTTGGCTAATGGTATTTTTCTTCAGGAGTGATCTGGGACTTCCTTTATAGTGGAGCAGTCTAAAACACATTTGTAATTACATGCTGTTTGTTTTCTTAGCATTGCTCTGGCATCTAGAGGCCTCAACTGAGATACGTTTTGGCAGGCAGTGCTCTTGCAGTAAATGAGAAAAGCCTACCCTCTAAAATGTAATTAATGAAATTTGTATGGGAAAGAGTGAGAAAAAGGAAATGTCGGTTTCTGATTTATTTTACACATCTCTCACATCTTTTCTCTTGATTATCTCAATAACCCATTTCCAATAATTCTGTCAATTTTTTGTTATCCAGCACCCTTACATCTGATTGTCTCACTAAATTTTTTCCAGTGTGTTTTGCTATTTCCCCCTCTTATAATATTTCATTTTCTTTTTCCTAATTTTTTTTCTGTATGCTATTCCAAATTTTCACCATCAGTCCCCAAACTGCTGGATGCAAATAAGCATTTGAAAAAATATACTATCTTTCTGTATTATGATACTGATAACAGGGTTCATGCACCCACTATTGAAGTGGTTATTTTTACTTTTACTTTACAATTTATTTTTTTAAACCAGATTCAGTAAGCTGTGAGCTTTTTTACCTCAGTTCCTCCCACTGAGCCAACACAAGGAGAGTCTTGTACCACAGAAGCCATCAGCATCCCTGAAAGTTCAAATGTAGTGTGTGGTTATGAAAGTCAACCTGGGCCTCTGAGAGAATGGGCCAGAATAAACACATAGGTTTAATTTATTTCTGTTTGTGAGAGTAACAGTGCTGAACTTGCTGCCATTACACTGGAGTTACTAACTAAAGTTTAAAAAGAAAGCAGGGAGGGGAGTTGACCACAAGCACAAATGTTAAGTGAGTAACTCTCAAGACCAGAACATGTCTGAGAGTCAGGGGAAGGTCACTTTTTGCAAGGGAACAACTCTCACTGCCAGAGGGCCCAGGTTGGCAATCTCTGATGGTTTAGCCTGTCTGACAGGGCATTACACCTCTCCTGGAGATGAAAAGATCATTCCCATTAATGCCCATGGGAATTTTGCATGTACCTCAGCAGGAGAGGGTGCTTGCTAAGAGAGGATGGCCCTTCCCAGCTGGGTTTGAGGAGCACCACATAGTGCAGAAGAATAAGCATCTTCTCCATGGCACCAAGGTATCTCAGGGACATGTGCCCTAGGATGGCTTGGAAGCCAAGGAACCTGGAGAAAATGTGTGCCATAGAGGTTTTCCCCTCTTGGCCCCCATGTGAGGCATTTGGCCAAAACTGGTGAAGCCTGGTTATCACTGAGATATGATATTGTGAATTCAAGTTAACGTCAACAAAAAAGGTGCTGTTTGGAAAAGGCATCATTTTCTTCTACCCTCCAGCCCAGATGACCTCCTTAGAGCCTTGGTCAGGATGGTTTGAGAAAAATAACTTTGCATTTACACAAACCCACTGCTTTCCAGATGCTATGTTTGGGAGTTTTATGCAGTCTCTTGAGTCTTTTCTGCCAAATTCTGTTTCGAGGGTAAAAACAGATTCACTCCTAGGAAAAGGGGTGTGTGAGTGTGTGTATTTCTTTTGGAAGTGCTTGAGATCTAACCAATTTTTCCGTGTGTTTCCCTTAAGATTAAATTTCCCTTCCCTCCTTTTGCTTTAGCAGCTGGTGTGACCTCTCTTGTTTTAACTTTATTCCTCTTTTTCCCTTCCTGTTTTTCTACATCCTTCCAAATACAGAGGAGAAGCCCAGAATAAAGTAAGTGTGATGGGCAGAGTTTCAAAACCCTGGGATCATTTTTCTGATGTAGGAGAAGCCTTTAGATTCTCTATTAGGGAAATGGCCACTAGAAGCCTTTATCCAGCTCTCCCTTATGCGACATCCATCTCTTTGTTCCTGCACACCTTTCCAGGATGTCTGCTGCCTTCAGAGGATGCCTTAGCAGCACTTACTGGCCTGGCCCTTAAGACCTGATCCTGGTAGAGTCAGAGAATTCATGAGCTGTCTGAGATGCAAAGGTCTCACAGTATCCCAAACTGCAGGCAGCTCCACAATAAATCCTCTGTGAGAGGCCATGGCTGGAAACTGCCCTCTCCCCCTGGGATTGCTGGCAGAGGGAAGGGTGGCAGATGTTGGGCTGGGCTGGGCTGGGCTGAGCTTTACTAAGCTTTCCTATGGACCTGCTGGCTCTGGGCCCCAGCACCTTCCCTTCCCAGTCTGCCAGCTGCCCAGGACAGAGTGTACAGCCCTGCACACTCTCAGACCAACATCTTTCCATGTGGTAGGGAATGACCATGGACATTGGGAATAAAGAGGGGTTTTAGGGGTAACTCCCTGCCTTGCACCCCCTTCCAGGAAGGACAGTAGTCCTTAGGACTTTTCTGGAGTAATTTTCCACTGTTGTGCTCTTTCACCCCTCTTTATCTCCACCAACATTCCTCCTTGTCAGTGTGGTTCCTCAGGGCAGGGCAGGGCAGGATGGGCTGTCTAAAAAGCTGCATATTCTTTAAGATGAAATCCTTTCTTTTTCTTTTCTTTTTGTTTTGTTTTTGACTCTCTGCAGACTAACTGCTCCTAAAATACCAGAGGGTGAGAAAGTAGATTTTGATGTAAGTATTCCTGAGACTAGCTGTATTTGTCCTTTGTACCTGATAATAGACATGAGTGCAAACCCACATAATTCCTCCTGTACTGGATATTGCTGAGGGTAAAGGCAAAGACAAAAGTGTGGTTGATTTGCCATTTGATTTCAGAAAAAGGCTGTTCTCTGCTCCCTGAAACTGTCTGAATGCATTCATTGATTATGTGACTAAGCTAAAGTTATGCATTTCTTTTTTTTATCTCCTTGAATTTTTGTAGCCATTATAAGGAGGAGAAAGTAAAGTGTTTTAGGGAATCTCAGATCCTCTGTCCCATTGTTGCAAATGGCTTGAGAGTTGAAGGCTCTCATCTGTTGCTGACAAACACTAGCTAAAATTACAATAATAAGTAGAGATCCAAACACATAGCTAGAAAAATTAAGAAATTCTGGGTGTTGAAAACCTCCACAGAAATATTTGCTTTGCCCAAAATGCAGGAATATTTTCTATGTAAGATTTGTATTATAAAGCCAAGAGGAGGCAGCTGAATATATGCAAAGATAGCTGTGTGAGCAAAGCCAGGGATAAAATATGGTGCAGGGAAATGGGAGATTTGGATTCTTTACACTTCTGGGCCCCTGACTGTTGCATGAATGAGTGTCTGACTGCACCAGCAGCCATTTAAGTTAATCCATAGATTTCCATGGAAAGACACTTTCTACTTTTCTTTCTCTGTGTATGCAGGGTGCTGGGAATGTCCAGGACATAATACTAGAGCAATATGGACTTAATGCATTTTTCTGCTTTTCCAGGACATCCAAAAGAAAAGGCAGAACAAAGACCTGATTGAACTGCAGGCCTTGATTGACAGCCACTTTGAAGCCAGAAGAAAGGAAGAGGAAGAGCTGGTTGCCCTCAAGGAGAGGATTGTGAGTCCTTGTACTCCATTTCCCTGTACTAAATTGAGAGATCATCTGTAGATGAGAAGCTGAAAGTGCTGTCAGACTTTGACAGAAAGCTGTGCTCTCATGTACAGAAGTGACTGCCCAAGTCATCCTCAAATGACTTCTCTCCCATCTGTCCCGTCTCTTGGCCTCTTGTTTTATATCTGAGAATTGTACAAGAGACCCTTCTGCATGCTTTAGAAAGAGAGAAGGTAGCTCACACTCAGTGAAGCAAAGCTCTTGCTAGTGGGTGTAACAGAGGAGGCAGGTGATGATGATGATGATGATGATGATGATGATGGTGCAATGCCTCTGCCCTGCTCCCTGCAGGAGAAGCGCAGAGCTGAAAGAGCAGAGCAGCAGAGAATCCGGGCTGAGAAGGAGAAGGAGCGTCAGGCAAGGCTTGCGGTGAGTGTCTTTGCTTCCCTCCCCTTGTCTCTGCATCCAACTCCAGGAATCTCTGGAGACAAAAAAAACCTACAGGTTCTGCCTGCCCCAGTCCAGAGATGAAATGACCACTTTCTTAAAGCAAGGGCAGAAAGCAGGAGTTGCACATTCTCCTCAATGTAATTGTCTGCCCACATTCCCTGCACTGCCACTGGCTGCTGGGGACACTGGGAGTCTGTCCTAGAGTAACTGGTTTTGTGTCTTGCACTCCACAGGAGGAAAAGGCACGGAGAGAGGAAGAAGATGCCAAGAGAAAAGCTGAGGATGATCTGAAGAAGAAGAAGGCTCTGTCTTCCATGGGTGCAACATACAGCAGTTATCTGGCTAAGGTAAAAATCGTGGATTGATGAAAGAAATATAAAAATATTAAACCACTAAGTTGACTGGGAACACTTTTCATTACAAGTTGAGAAGATGGCCCAATGTTGAAATTGTTTCATTCAGGCTTAATTTCTGCAGTCTGATGTTAATTGGTATTCTGAAAATAGGCTGACCAGAAGAGAGGAAAGAAGCAAACAGCTAGAGAGACGAAGAAGAAGGTCCTGGCAGAGAGGCGCAAGCCCCTGAACATTGACCACCTTAATGAAGACAAGCTGAGGTAACATATTTATCCTAATTTATGGAATGTAATCCATTGATATTTGGTCTTACTGTCCTGGAATCTTCTCTGGTGATAAAATGAGGTAGAGGAGGGGGCCTTCCTTGAAATTTATCATGGGACGCATTTAAGCTGTGCCCTTGCTTAACCTAGAGAATGGAGGAGAAATGGGAATGCAGGGAAGTGTTGAAATGGTTTGGTAGCCCTCTAGCTGGGCTCCTGGCATAGCTCTGTTAGCCTCTTCTGCTAATCAGGATTAGTTGCTTACAGGACTAGCTCTGGGATTAGCTGAGCAAGCCTACAGACCGGTATCTGTAGTGTTCCAAGGGGAGAGTTAATGCTGCTGAGGTATGAATAGGATCTCCATGAAGGCCAGAGGTTTGGGAGCTACAAGCTCGGGTGCAGAGCAGTCAGCAGATGATAGTCTGGACTGCACACGATGGAGTTTACACGTTTATATGATTGAAAGATGAGGTTGGCTCACCTCAACCTTGACACAGATGAGATTGCACAATGGCAACTGCTCTACTTATCTGGGTGACCTTCAGAGTCCTCCTTCCTTCATGTCTAATTCCACTGCAGTCTTATCTTTCATTAACAGTTAGGGGGAAAATTAGAGAAATTACGTTAATGTGTGACACATGCAAGACTGCAAAAGATTTGAAGGTGAGAAGGCAAGAAAAACGTGGCCTTGAAAATGATGAGCAGCTTTAACAGAACAGAGAGGGTTTTACAGGAAGATGTGTGAATGGCATTAAATAAAATTCATTATTAGTGATGGGAAAACCATGGAAAATATCTGATGTTATGTGTTTCTTCCATCCTCCTTTCCCCATAAACGTACAGGGACAAAGCTAAGGAGCTGTGGGACTGGTTATATCAGCTGGAGACTGAAAAGTATGACTTTACAGAGCAGATCAAGAGGAAAAAATATGAGGTGAGTTGAGAGGCCATTTTGCTAACGGCACCAGGTCCAAAATGTAAAAATCTCTCTGATTCCTCTAGCAAAAGTCACGTTGTGACATTATTTGGGTCTCCAGTGACCCTTTGGAATATTTATGCAGAAAAATGCTTGGAACTGCATTCCCCTGACATACATACTTGAACCGGATTTCACATTTAAGGCTAAAATTGAATAGATCACTTTTAAGGTTTTCAGTGCCCCATGGAAAGGCAATCCCAATGGAAAATAGACACCTTGCCCTCTCCTGAAACACTGTTCATTCTTGTTTATCTATAGGTAACTGTGGCCTGAAAATTCAGTAACTCTCAGTTCACACAACTCTATTGCAAAGGAATTTTTTTAGATCCATCTTTGATTTCAAACTTGAATGTTGTAAGTTTATTCCATCCCAGCCAGATTACCTGTGGACTGAGCTCTCTGGAGTCACTGAAAACTGTCTCCAGGCAGGAGCACCTGACTGAAGTGTCATATGGTAACAGAAAGTGGACATGTTTCCTTCACAGTCACTGGATAGGGCAGCACTCACCCACACTAGGTTTCAGTGGCTGAGAAATCCAATGGATCTCTCTCTGTCTCACTCTCCTTTTAATTCCCAATCACACAGACACATGCTGACAGGCAGTGAGCAACAGCAATGTAACTATCTCAATCTCTCTTAGATTTTAACAATGCGTTGCAGGCTGCAGGAGCTTTCCAAGTTGTAAGTACAATGAACTTGCCTGTGTAACAGCAGCAGCAAAGGCTACCAAATGCATGAGCCTGCAGCATGGTCAGAGCCAGGCGCCAGACAGGAGCTGGCACTTGGCTCCAAGTGCAGAGAGAAAAGAGAAAAATGGGTCTTGTGTCTCTCCATTCACTTCCTTTTTCTCTCCCTTTCCATTCTTTGAAAACATGAGAAGTGGTAATTTAGGAAGAGTCAAGAGGGCAATAGGGATTTGGTTAAAGAACTGAGCATGCCGTCTACTGAGAGTATCCTAAAATAACTCCCTATCCAAAACCAGGTATTGTGTGTATGGGGGCATCCCCCTAATGCACCTGAGGTCCGTGCAGAAGCTTAGGGATACATGTGTGATAGCTTAGACTACAGTATATAGAGAATATATATGTATGGGGTTTGGAAAGCTTCTCCGTCTTGTGGCACATGGTTATCTAGATCCAAAATGTTGGACAGGGACAACTGAAGGATAATAGATCAAGTGGGAAAAACGGGAGATAAGGCAGTGCCAGGGAGGGGTACATGCTATGGTAATGAGACCTCTTTATAAACAAAGAGGGGGGTGCCTGCTGGTGAAAAGCAAGGAGACAAAGTACTAAGAATGAGCAGAGCAGAAGGAAAATGCACAGCTAAGGTGGGAGAGGAAAAGTGGTTGAATAAAGGGAGGATGACAGCAGGAAAAAAAATTAGGAGAAAGGTAAGTGAAAATAGGAAAGAGAATGAAAGAGACACAAGCAAGGATGCAAGGGAGAGACAAAGGAAGGAAGTGGGACACACAGAAGTGGAGCCATTCTTAGCTCTAGTGTCTGTTTAGTGCTCTTTAGTGCTTCATTGGAGAGTGAGTGTCATGGTCATAAGGTTATGACTGCAGGTAAGTCTTAAGTGCTGGGTCAAACTGAAGACAACTGGTTCTCCTCAACACTTGGGGAGAATACTTGGTTGGAAAACAGCAATTTAAACTGCTGTGACAAATACTAAAACTTCCACAAGTAAGTACAAAAGCAAGTGATCTGTTGATCTTTCCTTGCTTGTGTTGTCCTGTTCCCGATAACATTTCAGTCTCTCATATTTTTTCTGTTTGCCATGGAAAGATGTGAGCCAGGAATAACCAGTTCTTGGGACAACTGGAATGTATGACTTCTGTTTTTCTTTTTTTGCACGCTGGAAATGTTAAGTGCATTCAAAATTTGGGTCATCAGTTCTTGGACTGGCAGAGCCAGTGCAGGATTTTGAATTGTGCCAAAATCAAAGCATACCTCTTGGCAAGGGCATTTCTTCAGTCTAGGAAAACTAAGTTGAACTCTGACTCAGTTATAGATGAGAAGATGAAGGGGCAAAAGAGGCTCTCTATCACACCCTAGTGTTTTGTAGGCTTTTCCAGTACATGAGTGCCAGGATTTCAGTAATGAGTCCAGGCCTACAGACCAAACTGAGTTCTAAGTCAGGCTATAAGGTGTTCATCCTGTACAAGGTAGGTGTTTGGTTTCCTATGCATCAGGTCATCTTCTTTTATTAAACGAGTGGCTGGGAGAGTGGTGAGTGCTGGAAGCTCCTCACCTCTGGCTCTGCCAGCCAGCAAAAGGTATTCCAGCAGAATGTGATGCCCCTCTTCCATTTTTGAGGTCCCTACCCAAAGGCCCCTAAGATCTTTGGGTTCACATAAACACCTGATGTAAAGGAGTAAGGGAAGAGTGAGAAGGTGAGATTGAAACATGCAGGTGATGTAGCCATCCAAGAGCTTTCCAGCTGGCCAAGGTGACATTCATTCCAGTTCAACTGCCTTCAGTTTGACATGTGAGTTCATAGGAGATTAATTTCAATATGCAGAAAAACTTCTAGTAAGGGTTATAAAATTCTAGCTCTTCTGTCCCTTGACATGTAAAGGTGGTTTTCAGATTTATTGCCCAGAAGTAACATTTCTGTCCTTCAACCATGGGTGAGCATTTATTTCAAAAGAAGTATTAATTCCTACGACAGGCACCTGTTTTGAGCACTTCAGCAGGTAAAATTCTCCTCTCCTTGAGGGAACAAGGTTTCTTTGTCTCTAAAAACCCTGGTCATGTATGTTGTTTGCAGATTGTCACCCTCAGAAACCGGATTGATCAGGCCCAGAAGCAGTAAGTATTTATATCCCCTTCCTAGCTCCTGGCTTGGGGATATCTTCTCAGTGTTCAAATGTGTCACTTCAGCCTCATCACTGACATTTTCTTGTTGCAATGAAATGAGGCTAGAGATGGAAGGGCCACTCCCATCCTGCCTCACACAGAGAAAATGAAGGGGAAACTGAAGTGAATGTAACACCTAACAAGAAAAAAAAAAATCATGTTTCTCCACACCATACCTTCAGAAATTTCCTCTGCTTATTGTTGGGTTTTTCAAACACCCGAATGAGGTGCTTTGAATACTTGAGGGAATACAACCCTTGTTTATGAAGGATAAACAAGTGGTTGCTAAGATTACGAAGAATGGTGTGTAACAAAACTAACATAATGGGATTACTGCTGTGAATTCTTTTCACTCATCATCTCTCTCCCACTTTCTTTCACCACAAGGCTATTCCATTACTTTTTTGAGTCTAATATCTTTATTCTAGGTATTTTTAATAGATTTATGAGATATCATAAAGCACAGCTTGGGGGTTAGAACACGCAGAAAACTAACACTCACAGAGAAGTGACTGCAGGGTGGGAAGGGAGGACAGCTCTCCAGTGGTGGGTGTGCTCTTCTCTCTGCATCTCTATCATCTAGCAAAGTCATGCCAGGAATGAAGCAGTGGTCTTTGGTGATATCTTTGGATGGCAGGAGTGACCAGTTACTGCCCTCCCACTTCCCCAAGACACCCTGACTTATCAAAGGAATGTACCACTGAGGGTTTGGTTGCCTGTAATGCCAAACATAAGGCTTGACCTTCCCGTGGTATTTTCTGTACAGAGCTGTAGGCTGATAAACCTCAGCAGAATGTGCAGCTGCAGAAAGATGCCATGGTTTGTCTGGGTGTTCCTGCTCTTGCAGGGTGCTTCCACACCACCCACAACAGGCCACTGCCTGCTTGTTCCCCCAAAAGACACGATGCTCTCTCAGGACATCATTTGGAAAGGTTGCACTGAGAAGCCCAGAGCTAATGAGATTTCTGTGTGCTTAAATTTCTATCCACGCTAGACACTATCATTCCAAAGGACTGCCTGCCAGTGTGTTACACAAGGATCAAATGAATCTTTTGCTTCAGACTTTATTAAATCTCCTTAAGCACACTGTAAAGGTTAGGTGGAACATCAAACATCACAGGTGCTTATGGACATAAAAGGACTCTGTCTTTGTTTGAGGAGCTATGCACTTCCTACACTGGGTTTTGAATCTTCAGAAAGGCTGGCAAAAGGGACCTAGAGCTTAATTTAAGATAAGCAGAAAGTGCATGCTCTCTTTTAAGTAAACCATCAATTTTTTCAAATAGACCAAGCCTATCTTGGTCAAAGGTAAAGTATCCACTATGTGTGTGTCTCTGTCACTGTGCTACATCCTTCTGTAAATATGGCTGACGCTCTTGAACCAATCCATGGGGCAGCATCATAAAAATCTCCCCAGTTGTGATGTCCCCATGCTCTTCTTCTCCCTGGAGTGGTCCTGAAGAAAGGCCTCTGTTGACAACAAGGCCCCACCACCCTGTGCTTGGTCCCCAGCCCCACACTGTGCCATGTCAAAGAGCTGCCCCCACCTTGCATGTGCTTTGGTTCAAGAAGCAGCCTCATCACTGTGTGAGTGAGATGGAAGGGTTTGGGGGTGTGCTGAGCCCCACAAACCAAGGTGCTGCTAATGGGAACAAGTGCAGAACCTAACTCAACTAACTCCCTGCCTAGCCCCGTTGTGAGTTCAGGCTTCTCAGGCAGAAGGTAAGTGCTTGCATGTAGGATTGCCCTTCTGTGTGCAAGAACTCTCTGAGACTTTGCCTTGGGTGCTTTGAGTGGGGAGTGTAGCTCCTCACTCGCCACATGAGCAAGACAAGGATATTGATATGAGAGCCAGCCTAAAAAGTTGTTTGGATTGTTTTGGAGGCTCTTGTTCTCATGATAGAAATAGCCACTCTGCTAGAGCAAAGCACTTCTTAGCTGTATTTAAATTAGCATTCAGCTTTTTGCCTCCACTACCAAATGGAGCATCTGAGGAATTTGATCAGAGCTCTTTCATACTGAGCAAATTTCTTTAGATAGAGCTCTAACTCCTAAAATCCAGAGCACAGCAGATTTGCATTCAGAAAATATCAAGTCTGTGGCTGCATAGACCTGTCACTTAGTTTGGAGACCACTTAGATTTCTACCCTGATAATCCAGGAGTCTGGAAGGGTCCATCTCTTTCAGGCATGCATATCCTGCCTTTCACACTAAGAGCCCCAGGAGGAATCTTTTTCCACAATATCAACAATATTTTTCTCGGGATGTGGCCAATGGCAGGTGTGCCCAACATGTGAGAAGTGAAAGCAGCTGAAACCTAATCTAAGAGTCAGAAATGCAGAGTGGCCACAGCCCCACTGCTTCCATCATGCTGACATGTTTTCTTTCCTTTTGCATTGCAGCAGCAAGAAGGCAGGAGCCAAGGGCAAGGTTGGTGGGCGCTGGAAGTAAAGAACCAGGCAGGATGGCCTTTAGTGGTGTGCTGAACCCCTGCTGGTCTCCTCTTCCCTCCTTCACCGAGCATTTGTGTTCTCATGCCTCAATGATAACAAAAATCACATCAGCCTGCATTGGCTATTGCTGCTGCTTTTCTCCCTGGAGGGGTCTGGTGGCTTCCTCAGGCAAGGGGAAGCAGGTTCCCTGTGGAACTGGGATGACTCCTTGCTGGCATCTTCAATTCCTGCTGAGCATGTCCCTTATCCTCCTGATACCAGCCCTATGCTGTCCTGTAGATTGCTGTGTACAAATCTCTGGATTTTGTAAATAAAGCACAACCAGTACCTACTCCAATGACAGCCCTCTGGAATGGTGTTTCGTGTTTTATTTAATGCCTTCCCATTTTCCAAGGATTTGGGAGTTGGTCCAAACCCTTACTTAACATCCTTTGATCTGTCTCTACATGGGGGAATAGGCTCAGTATGATCAGCAAAGACTCAGGATTGGGGGCCTGTTCTAAGCCCTCGTACAGGCAGATACCAAGAGCTGACTGTTCTCAGGGAGCTCATAATCTGGCTGCCAAATGTAGTCAAAATTGACTTCAAAGTTCGAGTGATGAAGTGAGTCAAAGAATTGGGAATAAAGGAACAAATCTCCAGAAGTGGTAGTTTTCAGCACCTAGCTTTTACTAAATGCAGACAAGTGCAATAGAGAATGATTCATTCAAATATCACATTAAAATATTTATTGAGGCTGTTAGCCTGCATACAATATTAAAGTCCATTACTGAAGTGTGAATTACTTGGTTAATTCATTGTAGATGTCAAAACACGAGTGGCTGTTACTAAATTCGAGGTGTGAGCTGTTCTGTAGGGCCTCTTGTCTTTGCCAGCCCTGGAACTGCCCTGGTGGAGGGAAGTCCATCAGAGTCTCTCCCATGTTTCCAAATTTCTGTTTCTGATGCCTGTGTGCCCACTCTGGCTCTCTGCTGGCATATGCTGAGGTGTTATGGAGTCAGGAGTGGTTTAGGTGTGAAGAGGCCTGAAAGATCACATAGTTCCAATTCTCCTGCCATGGGTAGGAACACCTCTCATCAGACCAGGTTCCTCATAACCCCATCCAACCTGGACTTGAACACTGCCAGGGATGGGGCATCCACAACTTCTCTGGGCAACCTGTTCCAGTACCTCATCACCCTCCCAGTAAAGAATTTCATCCCAATATCTAATCTAAACCTGTCCTCTCTCAGTTTAAAACAGTTGCCCCTTGTCCTGACTCAGGCTACCTTGGTGGTAAAAAGTCCCTGCCATTCTTATAAGCCCCCTTACACGCTGAAAGGTCCCAATCAGGTTTCCATGGAGCCCTCCCTTTTCCTGGCTGCACAACCCCATCTCTCTGCCTGTCCTGGGACAAGGGAGGTGTCCCAGCCCTTCCAGCATCTCCTCTGGACCCGACCCACCAGCCCTGTGTGTGTTCTGCTGGGGTCTCACCAGCGTGGGGGACAGGAGAGTCAGGACAGGACCCCAGCAAAAGCAGCACTGCAGCACTTGACTTTCCCATAATCACAGAATTGTTAGGGTTGGAAGGGACCTCTGGAGGATGTTCAGTCCAATCCCCATGCTAAGGCAGTGTCACCCAGAGCAGGTGACACCAGAATGTGTCCAGGTGGGTTTCAGTATCTCCAGGGAGTGAGATTTCACATTGTCCCTTGGCCAGCCTGTTCCAGTGCTCTGCCACTCTCAGTGTAAAGATGTTCTTCCTCGTGTTGAGGTGGAACTTCTTGTGTTTCAGTTTTCGGCCACTGCTCCTTGTCCTGTCGCTGGGCAGCGCTGAGGAGAGTCTGGCACCATCCTCTTGGAGATATTTGTACGCAATAATGAGATCCTCCCTGAGTCTTCTCTTCTCCAGATTAAACAGGCCCAGCTCCCGCAGTCTCTCCTCTTAAGAGAGACGCTGCAGACCCCTCCTCATGTCCGTGCCGTTCCGCTGGACCCTCTCTGGTCGCTATTCCTTGTCTTTCCTTTCCCGAGGAGACCCGGGCTGGGCACAGCGCTGAGCGGCTGCTCGGGACCTCCGGGCCAGCAGGGGGCGCCACCGCTCCACCCTCTCGGGGCCGCTCCAGCACCGCCACTTCCGGGGGGCTCGGCCATGGCGGCGGGCGCCAGGAGGGCCGTGTGAGCCGAGCGGGGCGGGCGGCGGTGGGCTGGGATGGTGGGGCTCGGTCGGGGCAGCGGGGTGGGATGGGATGGGGTGGGGTGAGTGGGGCCGGCCGGTCGGTCAGTCAGTAAGTGAGCGAGCGGCGGCGTGTCCCCGCAGGTACCCGCTGTTCCAGAGGGGCGGCCCGCAGCTGCGGATCTTCCGTCCCAACTTCTTCATGCTGGCGGTGCGGCCCGGCGTGCCCCAGCCCGAGGACACCGTGCAGTTCCGCGTCTCCATGGAGTGAGTGCGGCCACGGCAGCTGGCCTCCTGGGCTGTGCCAGGGAAGGGAAGGGTCTTCTGCATGGGCCAGACCTTGCAGAGGGCGCCGAGGGCACTGATTTAATGAGGGGCTTTGCCTGGCTCCTCTCCCCGAGTGTTGGCGAGGCTCAGCCTTCCCGAGGACGGGCTTGGGAAGAAGGAAGTGCTTTTGATCCAGAGTAAGCAAGGTGGTGTCCAGTTATTTGTCAGGACTCTTTCAGCCTGACCAGTTTGCTGACACGTATTAAAGCCCATAAGACTGTGGCAGGTTCTGGTAAGATCAGCAGCTCCTACTCAGAATAAAGAAAGGTGTGTCAAGTTGGGCAGTGAGAAAGCCTGCTGAACACAGAATATACCTGGCGTTTTGAATGTTGAGGCTACAGAGGATAAAGTCTTTGACAATTGTTACAGTTTATGGATTATAAAGCGCTGTAGCAGTGTGTGGTCTAAGCTGAGTTTACACTTTCATGTCGTAAATCTGTCTTGGTTAAAGCAAGAAGAAGACATATTTATTCCTCAGTATCAACCAGTCTCTAGTTTATTTTGTTTAAATATTTACTTTTTTTTTCCTTTCTTTCCCCCAAATCTTTTCTCATTGCCTAGAATGACGAAATTGGATATCAGGAATTACCTTGAAAAAATATACAATGTGCCAGTAGCTGCTGTGAGGACCAGGATACAGTATGGTAAGTGCAGCTGAGTAGTGCAAGGGGATGGATACAGCATCCCTGCACAGCCACAGTAGACTTTTACCTTTCAAAAGCTCTGTCACATTTCAGCAGACTTTGGTTGCAGTGGTTCCAGGTGCTTAGCTGGTGATGTCTCCACAGTTGTTTTTTCATCCCTTCAAATGAACACACACCACTTCATATTTGAATGCTGTGATTAAATTGTGATGTGAGGTTCACTCTAAAAAGAAAAATCTGAATTAAAAAAAGCTAATCATCCCAACAGTTATCTAGCTTGTGCGTTTGTAGTAGGTACTGTTTCTCCTCGAAGACCAGTGGGTATCTCCCTTCAGAAGGAACTGCTTCATGTGTTTTAATACAAGCAGTAATTCAGCTTAAATTCAGCTGTAGGCTTCATTTGAAAAATGAGCATGCACACACAGGAGGTGTTATAGTCTAACAAAGGGCAAAGTTTGTAGACCAAAGAAAAATACTCTCTTGAACCAGTAGATAGGGTCAGAAAAACATCCTTACAAACTTTCAGGTTTTTATCACCTGTTGTTACCAGATTTATGCTACAGACTTGAATGTTTCCACTTGTGGTATTTCTCTCCTATCCAACCCTTAGAAACAACAACAACAAAAAACCACTCAAACGCTCACCAAAAACCCAACAAAAAAGCAATCTAAGAGAAAAAGAAAAAAGTTCCTAGTTTAATTTTTTGCTGAACTCTGACTTGGAGGCAGAGGGACTCGTCTCTAACTGAAATAAGGTAAATTTAGATAATGTCACCTTTACATACGAATGCTTCCTGCTTCACAGCTTCTCTAACTACAGTTTGGATGCAGTCAGGAGTATTTTTTTTTTTTTTTTTTTGTTATGTTTATTTACGTTTTTGATTACCGGGCAGTGTAACTGTGGAGTGAAGAGTGACTTGGTTAGGACATCTTTGATGGCTGGGATTTTTATTTTTCATGTTGTGACTCTATGAAAGGAATTGTCTGTTTATAATGGTAACATTAACAATGATTTTAAAAGGAATAGGAAAAGAGACCTTTAGTAGTTAAAAATTGAGGATAAAAGAAAAAGCTTCAAACTAAGGTTGTAAAACTCTTAACTTACAAAGGAAGAAAAAACCTGTAAGTATCATCTGTAATATGCTTTCTGGTGAAAACCAGAATTAAACTTAAGTCATAAATACCAAACACATGTAATTCTAAACAGCACTGAGAAATAATCATGCTTGTCCTTATAGCCATTTTGTCTGTCACTGCTAATTTTAGGGGATGGTATGTAGTCAGGGATAAAAGAGGGTTAGAATGCCTAATAATCTGGGCTACAATAATAATCTTTAATGTCTGCCTTACATGAAGGGGGTAAGTTGTACTTCCCACTTCAATTGTGACCAGCATATTTGGAGGAGGTTGAGGAGCTTCAATTTGTTTGGATGTGGAATATAATATCCTGGTGTGAGAACAGTAGATCCAGCTCATCAGCTGAATAGTAAAAATTGTCAAGTTTAAGGCTATTTAGTGGTCATTTTCTCCTTGTCTCCTTCCTGAAGTTATGGATGTTGGGAGGGCAGTTCACTACCCCGGTGCCTACTTGGGAGACTTTTCTCCTTGCTTCTTTGCAGACTTTGTGTGTGAAGGCACAATGGCAGCAGGCTGGTGATGCCTTGGTTCCCTGCTTGTAAACGACGAGAGCCGTGTCCGCTAGTTTGAGAACACTTTAATAATCGTGGTGCTGTGCTGGTAGTGAAGGAAGAGTATTCCTCTTAACAATAAATCTGAGATAGCCAAATCCCTCCTTCAGCTTGGCCTTGCTTCAGAGAACCCAGAAGTCTTGGGAAGTAAAAGGCAGGATTCTGTTCATTTCTGCAGGTGCAAACAACAAGAGGAATCACAGGAATCAGAGAGTGAAGAAGCCAGATTACAAGGTCGCCTATGTACAGCTGGTGAGTCGAGTTAACATGGATGCTTGGGAGGAAGGAGGAAGGCACTGTGAACCAGCCAAGCTGAAAGTAATGGCCAGTGGGTTGTCCTGGTTGGCTGAATATTTCTGCCAATCCTCTAATAGTGACAGTCTCTAGCACATTCCAGAATGTAAAGGAATTTAAACCACTTGGTCTAAAGATCAAATTTAAACACATGGTTATTTTTTAAGTGCTGTGTTGGTTTGAGGTCTGTCTGTAGGTTGTGGACTGATGTCATAGGCTGCTGCTTTGC